CTTACGCAGCAAAAGTACAATTAATACTGCCTCTGATGCTAAATAGTTCAACGGCTTAACTAGTGTGGAAGAATTATTATTCATAATGGCAGTATCTATTTGTAATGGTAAGGTGTGTAATTTATTCCAGTCTCATCAACTTCTTAATGAGTTAAACTCAGCAAGCATGGGCAAACTTTGGCCCTCAGGTGTTTTGGACTTCAACTCCCACAATCCCTAATGGCCAGTAGGGAGTTGAAGTCCAAAACACTCAGAGGGCCGAAGTTTGCCCATGCCTAAGCTAAAGACGCCACATTTTGGCAACATATTTATTTATTTACTTTACTTTACTTTACTTGTATACCGCAGTTTCTCAGCCCAACAGGCGACTCAACGCGGTTTACAACAAGGATAAGAATCAATCAACGATATACAATTTAAAACCATAAAAGCATAATATACAATATTGACACAACAATAGACAACACAATGCATCTCATAACTAGAGTCGTGATCCAATCCGTCGTCCAAATTTCCATTCCTGTAATCATCACATTCATTGCACTGTTTAACCGAATGCCCGTTCAAACATCCAAGTTTTTAATCTTCTTCGGAACACCATTAGCGAGGGGGCTGATCTTACCTCCATAGGAAGGGCATTCCACAGCCGGGGGGCCACCACAGAAAAGGCCCTGTCTCTCGTCCCCATCAGCCGCACCTGTGAAGCAGGCGGGATAGAGAGCAGGGCCTCCCCAGAAGATCTTAGGGTCCTGGTGGGCTGATAGGCAGAGATACGTTCGGATAGGTAACTTGGGCCAGAACCGTTTAGGGCTTTATAGGCCAACGCCAGCACTTTGAATTGAGCCCGGTAGCAAATCGGCAGCCAGTGGAGCTGGTGCAGCAGAGGAGTTGTATGCTCCCTGCGCTCCGCTCCTGTTAGTATCATGGCTGCCGAGCGTTGGACTAGCTGGAGCTTCCGAGCCGTCTTCAAAGGCAACCCCACGTAGAGAGCCATTGCAGTAGTCTAGACGGGATGTAACCAGAGCGTGGACTACCGTGGCCAAGTCAGACTTCCCAAGGTACGGGCGCAGTTGGCGCAGGAGTTTTAACTGTGCGAATGCTCCCCTGGTCACCGCCGAAACCTGGGGTTCCAGGCTCAGCGATGAGTCCAGGATCACACCCAAACTGCGAACCTGCGTCTTCAGGGGGAGTGCGACCCCATCCAACACAGGCTGTAACCCTATACCCTGTTCGGCCTTACGACTGACCAGGAGTACCTCTGTCTTGTCTGGATTCAATTTCAATTTGTTCGCCCTCATCCAGACCGTCACAGCGGCCAAGCACCGGTTCAGGACCTCGACAGCCTCCTTAGTAGCAGGTGGAAAGGAGTGACAGAGTTGGACGTCATCCGCGTACAGATGACACCGTACCCCGAAACTCCGGATGATCTCTCCCAGCGGCTTCATGTAGATGTTAAACAACATGGGAGACAGTATTGAACCCTGAGGAACCCCACAAGACAAAGGTTGTGGGGTTGAACAGGAGTCTCCCAGTAACACCTTCTGAGATCGACCCTCGAGGAATGAGCGGAGCCACTGCAAAACAGTACCTCCAAGACCCATCCCCGCGAGGCGTCCCAGAAGGATACCGTGGTCGACGGTATCGAAGGCCGCTGAGAGGTCGAGCAGCACCAACAGGGACACACTCCCCCTGTCGAGCTCCCGACGCAGATCATCCACTAAGGCGACCAAGGCTGTCTCGGTACCATGTCCCGGCCTAAAGCCAGACTGTGCCGGATGCAGATAATCAGTGTCTACCAAGAATGCCTGGAGTTGTGAGGCCACCACACATTCCAGGACTTTGCCCAAGAAGGGGAGATTGGAAACAGGCCGATAGTTGACGAATTGAGTGGGGTCCAGTGATGGTTTTTTCAACAGCGGTTTTATTACAGCTTGTTTTAAGCTGGCTGGAATTTGCCTTCCCGAAGGGAGGCATTAACCACCACCTTCACCCACTCGGCCAATCCCCCTCTGGCCTCCTTTAGAAGCCAGGATGGGCAGGGGTCTAGGATGCATGTGGTAGCTCTCATTCCTCCAAGCACCTTGTCCACATCCTCAGGTTTCACCAATTGAAATGAATCCATCAAAACTGGACAAGCAGATGCTCGTGTTACATCCTCAGAGACTGCCGTTAATATGGTATCCAGACCAGAGCGGATCAAAGCGACTTTGTCTGCGAAGAACTGAGCAAAGGCTTCACTGCGAGCTGCTGAGTCATCAGGGCTCCCATCCTGCGTGGTGGGTTTTAAAAGGCCTCTGACAACTCGGAACAGTTCAGCCGGATGGTTCTTTGCAGATGCAATAGATATAGATTTATCTATATGGTCTAATAAAATAGATGATGAACTGGAATTTTTGTGGGACCTCTTTTCTCATTCCCCATACATTTTGGATTACTTCTTCATAGTGTTTGAGAACCAAATGCAATTTTATGAAGAGGTAATGGGACTGCTGTATAATCCCCATTATCCCCAGTCTGCATGGCAGATCATCAAAAGTGATGGGAGTTGTTGACCAGTATCACCTGAGGACCCAAACTGGGGCCCCTTCTGCACAGCTGAATAAATATCCCACATTATCTGCTTTGAACTGGGTTATATGGCAGTGAGGACTCAGTAACCCAGTTCAAAGCAGATATTGTGGGATTCGCTGCCTTGATATTCTGGGTTATATAACCATATAGGGCTCCTGGATAAAAACTAAAGAGCACCTGCCGCTGTGTAAAAAAATATATTTGGCTCTCTATATCCACATATTCTCTGTCCATGGATTCAATGGCCCTTTGAAGGCAACTGCAAGGCTGATGTGACCCTGATGATGCCTTTCATGCCCCTGAGCAGGCCTGTAGCGAGGGGGTGGTTTTAGGGGTTCAACCCCCCCCGAAATGTTTCAGATTTTTTTAAAAAACTGGTTTACTCATGAATTTTAACTGGCTAACCAAATCCCCATGCTAAGTCACTGTTGTATGTTAATAAACCTGGTTTACTCATGAATTTCAACTGGTTAACCAAATCCCCATGCTAAGTCTATGAGATGCAAAAAATTAAGAGTCCCTCCAGAACTGCAAGCACTATCTCAAGCAAATATTGACAATTTATTCACACTGTCATTACTTGCAGCAATAGCCGATGTAGTGAAGCAACCAAGTTGGGTGTGTGTGTGTTGAATGCTCTCATTAAGGAGGCCAGACTTGGTGGAGGTGGTTGACAGGGGCGGAGCTGCAGGCTATTGAAGGTTGCTCTGCCCCCTGCTGTGCTCTTTGCTTCAGTGTGAGCTAGGAGGCAGGTTTCACCCCCCCCCCAAATTTTCAACCCTCCCCGAAATTTTCAACCCCCCCCCAAAATTTTCAACCCCCCCCCAAAAAAAATTGTCAACCCTCCCCAAAAAATTTTTCTGGCTACGGCCCTGCCCCTGAGACAGTGGTTTTGAGTTTTTAACCGTGATGCTGGAGACCAGGCTTCAAATCCCTGCTGGGCTATGGAAGGATCTTGGGCAGGCTGCACTCTCTCAGGCCCCTTCCACACAGCTGAATAAAATCCTACATTTTCTGCTTTGAACCGGAATATAGGGCAGTGTGGACTCAGATAACTCAGGGCCCTTCCACACAGCCATATTACCCAGAATATCAAGTCAGAATAACCCACAATTGGGTATTTCTGAGTCCACACTGCCATATATCCCAGTTCAAAGCAGATATGGTGGGATTTTCTGCCTTGATATTCCACTTTATAGGACTGTTTGGAAGAGCCCTCAGCCTCAGAGGGAGGTCAGGGCAAACCCCTCTCAGGCAGTCCTGCCAAGCAAACCTCGGGACTGGGGACCCTTCCACACAGCCCTTATATCCCAGAATATCAAGGCAGAAAATCCCACAATATCTTCTTTGAACTGGGTTATCTGAGTCCACACTCAGATAATGTGGGATTTTCTGTCTTGATATTCTGGGATATAGGGCTGTGTGGAAGGGCCCTGGGTTATCTTGAGTCCACACTGCCATATATTCCAATTCAAAGCAGAAAATAAGGGATTTTCTGCCTTGATATTCTAAGATACAGGGCTATGTGGAAGGATCCTTGGTGAAGGAGGCATTTGTGTCGACAAAATCATAGAATCATAGAGTTGGAAAAGACCTCATGGGCCATCCTGTCCAACCCCATTCGGCCAAGAAGCAAGAAAATAATATTCAAAACACCCCCAACAGATGGCCAGCCAGCCTCTGTTTAAAAGTCCACAAAGAAGGAGCTTCTACCACACTCTGGGGCAGAGAGTTCCACTGCTGAACAGTTCTCACAGGGCCCTTCCACACAAGGCAGAAAATCCCACAAATCTGCTTTGAACTGGGCTGAGTCCACACTGCCATATATTCCAGCTCAAAGTACAAAATGTGCGATTTTTAGTTGCAATGGTAAGGTGTGTAAATTATTTCATTCTCATCATCTTCTCAATGAGTTAAACTCAGCAAGCATGGGCAAACAGTTAGGAAGTTCTTCCTAATGGCAGAATCAAAACCATTTGGCTGCTCGCATAGGAGAAGGAAGGAGGGAGGGAGGGAAAGAGGGAGGCTTCTGTGAGGAGGATGGCAGGTGCGAGGGAAAAATGACGTCGAAAGTGGAAGGAAGCTGGTTATGAACGTTTCTAGAGCCAATTTCCCTTGTGGTCTCTGTATTATATACAATCAAGTCTGAGGGGGAGAAGGTCTGTGTATACGTCTGTTTGTGTGTCTTTATATGTGTGTCTCTTTCCCGCCCTCAGGCATAATTCCTCATGTAACTAGGGAGAAGACATCCCAGAGTCATCCTGAGGGGCCACTGGCTGAGGAGCGCCCCTCCCCTATTATTTAATTCGAACCCCAACGTCCACCGGACGGCCGTTGGTGGACATTCGGGGAGCCAATGGGAGCAGCCCTTTCTTCTTGGAGCCAATGGGAGAGGCTGTGACATCTTTGAGGGTGGGGGTGGGGAGCCGACGTTTCCTATAAAAAGGAGGCGGGCCCAGCGCGTCCCCAGTTCTCCTTCGGGCACAGCAGCATGGACCCCACGCGAGATGGACGGGTGGTCATCATTGGCAGGTAAAGTATTCCTTGACGCACCTGAGTGTCTCCTGATGGTGCCTAGGAAGAGGAGGAGGAGGAAGTAGAAAAGCCCTTCCTCAAAGAAGAGGGTGACAAGCATCACAAGAGGGGAATCTAGAAGCCAATCTACTACCTTTCTGTGCCTGAGCCACAACAACACACCTTGTTGACATTGGCACTGAAGCATCCCAGAGGGGGAAAAGAGAAAAGTCTGGAATCAGGAAGCCAATCTATCTTTTTTGTGCCTAACCAACAACATCACAATTTGTTGACATTGGCACTGAAGCATCCCAGAGAGGAAAATCAGAAAAGTTTGGAATCTGGAAACCAAGCTATTGCCTTTCTGTGCCTAAACCACAACAAAACAATTTGTTGATATTGGCACTGAAGCATCCCAGAGAGAAAAATCAGAAAAGCTTGGAATCTGGAAGCCAATCTACTATCTTTCTGTGCCTAAACCACAACAACACAACTTGTTGGCATTGGCACTGAAGCAACCCAGAGGGGGAAATCAGAAAAGTTTGGAATCTTGAAACCAAGCTATTACCTTTCTGTACCTAAGCCACAACAACACAACTTGTTGGCATTGGCACTGAAGCATCCCAGAGGGGAAAATCAGAAAGGCTTGGAATCTGGAAACCTATGTGCTTTCTTTCTGTGCCCAAGCCACAACAACACAACTTGTTGACATTGGCACTGGCACTGAGGTGTGGGGATAAATGAATAATCTTTTCTTCGTGTGAATAGAACACTTAGCTAAACTGCTTGGTTTTTGTTTTAAAAAGGTTTAATCAGTACAGGCAATCACTAAAGGTATGGGACAGAACTTTTCCTTTTTTTCCTTTAGGCGATCCCTCGCTTTCCGAGGATGATTGTCTTCCAATATTCTTGTGGGACAGAACACAGATCTGATGAAACTATGCTCATAATACACTCTAGTGCAGGCGTGGGCAAACTTTGGCCATCCAGGTGTTTTGGACTTCCACGCCCACAATTCCTAACAGCCAGTAGGCTGTTAGGAATTGTGGGACTTGAAGTCCAAAATACCTGGAGGGCCAAGTTTGCCCACGCCTGCACTAGGTGAGACTGCTGCTCAAAGTAAGATTTAATTTATAGAGGTTACGGTGTATAAAACGATCAAGATAAAATTATTTTAAAATGTGTCTTTCCTAGTCTTCTGTTTATGTAGTTCTGATTGGCTATGCCATCTCTGTCAATGATCCAGCAGAGTCTTCGAATGAAGGTGCATGGACATTGTGTCCGCTATGGCTTCCCTCTCTGAAGGGCTTAGAGGTGTGAACTGTTCAGAGCATGTGGCTTTTGCATTGCCACGTGATGTTTGGCGAGGGTTATTAGGTGCTGTGCTCTGTCGTGCATCATTGGCTGGAGGTATGCGGATGGCAAGGTCAAGCTGTGCCTCCAGTGGGAACACCAGCTAGGAAAGGATTCAGTTTTCAGGAACCTGAACACTTCAGCAGACACAGAACAAAGGTCACCCAGCAATGCTGTCAGTGCTAGAATGTGTTGTTAAGCTGTGATGAATTCAACCGTTCTGAATTGTTATATTATATTGAGATGAAGTAGCTGTGGCTTTAAATTCATGGATTTTTTTGTAAACGTAATACACTGAAGGTATTATTTATTTTCAATTCCATTGACATACAATAGAGCTAGGGTGGCCTGTGTACCATTAGCAACCCTGCTGCATGGAATTGCCTCAGAACATTTGCTCATTTGAAGTTCAATATTAAGAGAACAAGTAGTAAACAATTCAAATAACATGTTTGAGTAATAGCTTTATTGAGTAATGCCTTCATTATGCTGACTTAAAAGCACAATAAAGGCATTACTCAATAAATAATAATAAGCTTTGTTTATATCCCGCCCCCTCCCCCCAAAAGAAACTCAGATCAATATAAAGATATGTATATGCATTATGTCAACTTTACTTTATGCCAAGGTTTTCTTGGCAAGGTTTATCTAGAGATTTGCCACTATCTGAGAGGGCATGGCATGCCCAAAGCCACTCAGTGACTTTCTATGGCTGGATAGGGATTTATACCTTAAGCTCCTATAGCCATAGTTCAAAACTCCAACTATGACACCACATTGGCTCTCATACTACTATTAAGAAAGCCAGAAAGTCTCCAGAAATCTTTGTCAGGCGTGAGATGGTTTAAAAAGAACAAGGAATGGTGGAGATGTCTTTAAAAAGAAGCCAAGTGTTGCGTGTTCTGATTTTTTAAATTCCAAGTTGAATTGATGCTTGGTGTTGCAGATTCTAGATTACATAATAGACCAGATCTGAGTCTTCCATACATAAGTTTCTGGCTAGGCAAAATGCAGTATATATATTATCATAGAATCATAGAGTTGGAAGAGACCTCATGGTCATCCAGTCCAACCAAAAAGCAGGAAAATTGCATTCAAAGCACCCCCGACAGATGGTTATCCAACCTCTGTTTAAAAGCCTCTAAAGGAGCCTCCACCATAGTCCGGGGCAGAGAGTTCCACTACTGAACAGCTCTCACAGTTAGGAAGTTTGTCCTAATGTTCAGGTAGAATCTCATTTCATGTAGTTAGAAACCATTGTTCCACATCCTAGTCTCCAGGGCAGCAGTAAACAAGCTTGCTCCCCCCTCCCTATGACTTCACCTCACATATTTATATACATAGCTATCTTGTCTCCTCTCAGTCTTCTGTTCTGCAGGCTAAACATGCCCAACTCTTTAAGCCACTCCTCATAGGGCTTGTTCTCCAGACCCTTGATCATTTTAGTCGCCCTTCTCTGGACACATTCCAGTTTGTCAACATCTTTAAAATGTGGTACCCAGAATTGGACACAGTATTCTAGGTGTGATCTGACCAAGGCAGAATAGAGGGGTAGCATGACCTCCCCGAAGCTGAAACAGGATATTAAATTTAGAGAGTGCTTTATCTGCACTGTGATCCCCCCCCCCCATGGCTAATGTAGCTTAACCATTTTATTGAGATATCACAGCATGCCCTCATTAAGTTTTACATCATGTTCAAAGAAAACTTGATATGTGGCAAATTTGTGTTTAAGAAATTAATGGGTTTGGACTGATGATATCTAAACTCTATCTCTGTGTCAACAGTATTAATAAAAGGACCTTGTTTTTCTAGTCCTAGAATGCATGCAGTTCTAATGAAGTACATTTTCCAGCTTACTCAGCAATGTATTACATATACTTCCTGGACTTTACACAGCTTCCTTCTGTCTCCCTGCTACATTTTTTTGGTAATATTTTTTTCTCGGTTTCCTTGTCAAGAGTTCCAGAATGTGTCACTGACTGTGATTTTGCTTAGATAGAGAGAGGCAGTCAGAGATAACAATTCATGGTTTCCTGAGGCTACTTGTATATTGGTAGACGTTGGGATCTGCAAAATCTATAGGGGAAATAAATGATCCAAGTTCTTGCTTATGAAAAGAGTTGAAATTAATCCTCTGCTATTAGCTTGTTTATTGTGAATGTATGTTAATAGATCATTATTGATCCTATCCGCAGGTGCACCTGTATAATTCATGTACTTTGACATGGCTTTAGCTGCTGTGATTCACTGCTATGGAATCTTGGGAGTTGTCCTTTTACAAGGTCTTTAGTAATTCTCCACCAAAGAGTGCTGTTGCCTCAGCAAACTAAAACTCCCATGATTATCTAGCATCGAGTCATTGCAACTAAAGGGTAGCAAACTGCATGAATTCTGTAGTGTAGATGCACCCTATGTCACTTTATTTCCTGGATGCCCTGTCTTTTCATGATCTACAAACACATGCCCGCATCCCAATACCAGTTTTTAAAAAGGTTTTGATGAACTTCACATATCAATTTTTTGGCTTTGTCTGTTCAGTGGTGCTTGCTGGACCAGAGTGCTCCAGTATACTGCATGTCAGGATGCCCATAGTGTATGGTCAGCCATGTCCCTTCAGGTGCATTACTAAGCTAGACTAGCCCATCCCTGGTTTAGAGGATCATCTTGAGATCCTTAGAAAAGTGGCTTTCATTCTCAATCCAGTGAAGCACACAAATCATGTTAAAGTCATGACTTGGACTTGAATGACACTTTAAAGAAATCTCAGTATCAGATTGTTATTCAGTATAGGAAAAAAGAATGTAATTTTTTCCTTCTTTGGCGCAACTTAGAGTTGACCCTCTACAACTGCAAATTTCACTTTTGCAGATTTGATTAATGTCTCCTTAGGTATTTCTAGCACAACTCTGTGGTCAACATCTGGCAGAAAAACCTAGAGAGGTTTTCTCTCAGATAAAAAGTGGATTTTGGTTCCCCCCACCCCATAGTTTTTGTACTTCATGGGGTTTTGCAAGTGTGGATTGTAGGATCTCAGGTCTTAGAACAGGTCTCTTCCAGCAAGTCTATCCAGTCAATTTTGAACTGTGAATTTGCATTCGACTGGTATCATGTTTTAATCTTTGCACTATGAATTTTGGTATGTGTTCATTGTGCCCCACCTTGAGTCGTGAGGAGAGGCAGAAGCAAATAAAATAATTTATTACTATTAGAATTTGAATTACCAATTAATTCCCCTCCCTCCAAACTCTGGAAACTTCCTATCCTTTTTTCTTCAAATTTTTTTCCTTTCTGAAGAGAGCTAGAATAAGAAAAGAAGAAGTCTGTTTGCTTACAAATTGAAGACAATGTCATCTGGCCTATGGCATTGAAGAATTTAGTAATAATAGACTCAAGTGGTCTGTCATTTTTCTTACTGCCTTCTATCTTACCACGTATAATTGTCTTTTATTTGTATATTGTAACTTCCCTTTTAGACATACGTTATTTTGTTTCAAGAAATGTATCTTTGGCTATTAGTTGAATGTGTTTTGCTTTATTACAGCCTTTGCTAGGTAAGAAATATTTAAGGCTTTGAAAGTAATTATACTTTTGAAAAACTTCTCAAATTTATCTGCTAGAGAATAATCATAAAATACAGTATATTCTGGCGTATAAGACTACTTTTTAACCCAAGAAAATCTTCTCAAAAGTCAGGGGTCGTCTTATATGTGGGTGTAGTCTTATGCATGGGAGTTGTCTTAACTCTATATTTTAACTGGAAAAGTTGGGGGTCGTCTTATACGCCCAGTCGTCTTATATGCCGGAATATACGGTAGGTTAATATATCTGATGACACATATGTACATTGAAATTCAATACGGGTATTTGTACAGACTGTCTGGCTACTGAATAGCTTTATGTTGATATAATATAACGTGTCACACCTAAACTTCAGTGACTTCCATAATCCATGGTGTCAGCTACAACTTTCAACAACCATTAACTTGAATTAGCCTCATTTTGTCTTTTTTCAGAATCGTTTTGCAGCCATCCAGCAATTCACTGACTATTTCATTTAATAAAGCTGTTAGGTCCAGAAAAAAATTAAGCTGATTGTTGGCTTAATTTTTGTGACACAGTAAAATATTATAGGGCTTTGCAGTGTTGGATGTCTTATGTAAATAAGGACATAACAATACTAGTTACCTTCATGTCAGCATCAGGCTGTGACACAACAAAATATGTAAAAATGAAAGGGTGGATGAATATGTTCTGAAGACAGTATATGTAGGTATAGAAATGTATAATTTGTTGTAATCATACAAGGTGGAAGTATCCACACATATCTGTAGACAGTGGATAATTTATTAAACAAATTTATTAAAGTGAGTGGAAGGGTTATTTCATACTGAGGTTTCAGTTTGGTATCGTTAGGATTGTATCTAAATGTTCAGCAGACATGCACCTTGCAGCAGGCAAACTCAGTGACACTAATTTTGGCCATGTGCAGCATAGCAGGTCTATGAAACAAGGTCAAAGTTACAGAAGTACAAAGGTGATTTGACAGTTTTCTCTCTTCTTCATCAACTTGTTTGCAGAGTTACTTTGTCCAATGTAACTCTCAATCCAAGCCTATTTTCTTTTAAAAGAAAGGCTGGACAGGCAGACAAAGCAGCTCATGAGTCGTTCACAGCCTCAAACAAAAGATCTAATCCAGAAAACATTCACATCAATACATGGTGAGAGCCTAATTCTCTGATCTATAGTATCGTTGTGTTTTATCCAGTTTCCAGGCTGTATAGCTATGTTCTAGCAGCATTTTCTCCTAGTGTTTTGCCTGCATCTGTGGCTGGCATCTTCAGAGGATCCTCTAAAGATGCCAGCCACAAATGTAGGTGAAATGTTAGGAGAAAATGCTGCTAGAATACAGCCATACAGCCCAGAAACCACACAACACTCCAGTGATCCTGGCTGTGAAAGCCTTTGACAAGTATTGTTGTGGCCTTCAAGTCATTTCCAATTTATGGTGACCCTAAGGCAGGGGTCCTCAAACTAAGGCCCAGGGGCCGAATGCGGCCCTCCAAGGTAATTTACCCGGCCCTTGCTTAGGGTCAACCTAAGTCTGTAACGACTTGAACGCACACAACAACAACAACAATCCTATCTCATCAGCCAAAAGCGGACCCACACTTCCCATTGAAATACTAATAAATTTATATTCATTTTAATTATTGTACTGTTTTAAAGTGGTTTTTGCACTACAAATCTATGTGCAGTGTGCATAGGAATTCATTCGTGTTTTTTTCAAATTATAATCCGGCCCTCCAACAGTTTAAGGGACTGTGACCTGGCCCTCTGTTTAAAAAGTTTGTGGACCCCTGCCCTAAGGCATTATCACAGGATTTTCTTGGCCAGATTTATTCAGAGGATGTTTTCCTCTGCTTTCCTCTGAGGTTGAGAAATGACTTCCTTAGGTACTTTGGGTGTCTATGGTCAAATGGGCATTTTAACATTGATTTTCATCATTATATACCCCACACTGACTCTTGATGTAAAGTCTAAACTCTCTGGAATATATATATATATAACCTAAAGTATATTTATCTAACATGTTTACTTTTTAACATCCAATATTAACTTGCCTCATATTGATTTTTGCACCAGAAGTGTATAAAGACCAATACGTTTCTTTCTGATTGAAACAAATACCTAATCCAAGAAAGAACAGTTAGAATTTTTGTTTCATATATGTTGAACCACATTGCACAAAATTGAATGCTTCCTAAGTTGGTTTGATAGAAATATTGACAAATTCCATCACTACAGATATGATTTAGACCCTTCTCATATAATATGTAAGTGTACAGAACTGGAGTCATGTTCTCTTAATGTATATGAATATGCATTTTATCCAAAATAACCTGGTCTATATGAATGGTACACAGTGCATGAAGAAGCCTGTTATTAGTCACAAACATAAGGCTCTTGACCAGAAATGCCCTGTGAACACTATAGATTCTGGCCCAGTTTACCTGTCCAAATGCATCTCCCCCTATGAACCACCTCATGGATTGTCAGGGGAGGCCCTGCTCTTGATCCCGCCTCCTTCACAGGCATGACTGGTGGGGATGAAAGACAGGGCCTTCTCAGTGATGGCCCCTCTGCTGTGGAACTCCCTCCCCAGTGATATTAGATCAGCCCCCTCCCTCCTGGCCTTCAGAAGGAAAGTGAAAACATGGCTTTGGGATCAAACCTTCAGAGAAGTGCAATAGAGGGATATGGAATATGTGCAATTGTAATGACCCTGGATTACAATTGTGGATGGTGTGGTCTTAATAATGGATGTAATGTTTTAATGTGTATTAATTTTAATCTTAATTTAAATCTTTATTTTAATTAACACATTGAATAGTTGCCTATGTATAAAGCCACTTTGAGTCCCCTTTGAGAAAGCTGGGGTATAAATGTGGTAAATAAATAAAAATAAATAACTACATTTCCAAACAAACCTGGCAAGGAAAATTCCATATTGTGAAAAGTCCATATTATCATCCATTATTTCCACTCTGACTCAGTGACTAACTCCTTCACTATAAATAGTCTTGTTAACCCTTGTTTGGCTCCAGCAATTGGAAATTCAATCTCTTTTCAAAGATCTGGATAAGAAATACCAGAGACATATTCCAGGGCTTGAGCAAAGCGATGCTTAATTCATAAGGAATTGCCTAGTTTAAATTACCTAGTGGCAATGTCAGGCTTACTGTCTTTAGTTGAAATTTCAACTAGTAAAACATATTATTAATCTTAATCCGTTGCTTCTTTTGACTGCTCTCTCGGTAACAATAACAAAATGCATGTGCTAAGTGTCTTCTCTTTTCTCATTAGTGGACTCATCGGATGTAGCTGGGCCATGGTTTTTGCCTCAGGTGGCTTCCAGGTCAAGCTTTATGATATTGTGCAAGAGCAGGTAGCAAAAGCCTTGGAAAATATTAGGTAAGTCACCTGCCTCCCTTGCAACACAGCGAAGCTGTTATAACATTTCTTTTATTATACAAGTGTTTGGTTTAGCGTCCAATTTTAAACAAGAAATTTATTTATTTTATTTAAAACATTTATATTCTGCCCTTCTCACCCCGAAGGGGACACAGGGTGGATCACAACATACAAACGGCAAACATTCAGTGAGTGTCTTAGTACAAATTCAGGCTATCTGGTAGTGATGGAAGGAAAAATTTGAGAAGAAAGTTAGCGGTAGCATGAAATCCACAAACACCTTCCCCAAATTCTACAATTTTAGTCATTTAGCCTCTTAAAACAGTATCTGAAGACGGCATCATGAAATTTAATGGGATCTTAGAGACCCTTCCTCTGTAATCTGAGGACAGTTTAACATTCCTATTTCATGTAGGAGTTTCCTATGCACTGGTGATTATAGATGAGTTAGCTTTTGCAAATGTATTACCGTGAGAACAACAGTTGTCTAAGTTTGCATTTCAAGTAGGCTTGTTGCTATGATAAAAACACAGTTAACAGACTTGTTGGCAATTCCTAGACACCTGGATTTTCAGGACTAATTATCCTCCACACCTGTTTTAGTTTAGCCATAATCAGGCCATATTCAGATGCCTCCTGGTATTAACACGAAAGGTAAGAATTGCAAAGTGAGGCTTAAATACTCCAAAGGCAGCAAATTCAGTCTCCTCTCATTCAAATTCAGCTAACAAGGCTTAAACCCCAATAATATTTGGATGAAGGGCAGCCAATGAATACTCAGTGTTGTAAACTACATATCAGAGGAAAGCAATGGTCAACCACCTCTGAGTATCCTGTAAAAAACCCGAATGAAATCAGCTATTCTTAAGCTGAAGGTTCTACACATACACAAGAACAACAAGACTAGAAAAGAGGTGGGCAACTGCCTATATTGATGGATTTTATACTTAAACTTACATTGCATTTATGCAGAATTATGTCCCACCAGATTTACATTATCTTTATATTTCTGAGGTGTCCAAAGCTTGTAAAATGCAGATGAAACAAAAGGGGAGGTGTCAGAACACTGTCTCACTTTTTAAAAAACAGAGAAGAGTAAGAAGAAGATGATGATTAAGACAATGATGACCCAGGAACTACAGGCCAATCAGCCTAACCAGGAAAAGTATTAAAACAGATTATTCAGTAGCCCCACCTGCAAGTATCTGGATAAGAATGCAGTAATTAGTAAGAGCCAGTATGGGTTTGTCAAGAACGAATCCTGCCAAACTAATCTTATATCTTTTGTTTGATTTAGTAGATGTTGAGAATACTGTGGATGTAATTTTCTAATTATTATTGTTATTGTTATTATTATTTCATTGAAATGGTATAGGAAATGCCTATCAAACCTTTGGGTGATAGAAGGGTTAGCAATCCAATTGGAAGATAGGAACAACATTCAAAAGGATCTTGATAAACTGGAAAACTGGCTGATATTAATACAATGAAATTCAACAGAGACAAATGTAAAAGGGAGATGCAGGCTTGTTCTTTTCTACTCAGAAGGTAGAACTAGGTCAAATATTTTGAAGTTAAAGAGAGTAATTTTGATCAAACATTAGAAGGGACATCTTGTCAGCAAGAACTATTTGGCAACGGAGCCAATTTCCTGGAGAGGCTATGGGATGTCCTTGTTTGTCTCCAAAAAAAGTTTGGACAGCTACTTGCTGGGAATACTCTGGTCCTATACACGATTGTGTGTGACCAACTCCATAACTTTCTATAAAAGAAAATGGCTAATATGTCACTTCTTTTGTCTTTACTAGCAAACAACTCAAGCAACTTGAAAAGACAGGAATGCTGAAAGGTTCACTGAATGCTGACCAGCAACAGTCTCTCATTACTGGATGCACAGATTTAAAGTCAGCAGTAGATGGCGCCATTCACATTCAGGTGAGCTCAGGCATGCACATTTTAGAAGCGGATCAACGTTTCCTTTTATGTATACAACTATGCAATTTGGAAGCATAAACATGGGCTCTACTGCATTTAGACCTCAAAATCTATGCTTTTCTCAAGTATATGACACCGTTCACAAAGAAAAATGTAACTATTTGAAAAAGTGCCTAGACGTCTTTTCAGTAATAAACTCAGTATTTCAATAGGAAAATCACATGGGAAGAGTATACACTTACAAAAGAATGCATACATTTTAAAATGTGTTTTAAAAATACCTGCAAGAAGACATTAAAATCTTACCACATACCTGAGAGAATGTCAGAAGCACAATCTAATAAGAGCGACAGTTGCACTATTCCACTGTATAGACTTGAGCACCCATAGATGTTTGGAACGAAACAGCAAGGAAAGAAGCCATTACGTCCAATCTCTGCTCAATGTAGAATTTCCAGGTAGTCTTCTTGTTTGCAGTTTTCTGGCACTTCATACATTCGCCAAGATTTTTCAAAGATGGTGACAAGTGGTTCTCAAGTCAGCATGTTCCTTCGGTCCTTTTAGATGCAGCTCCTCTGCCCCTGCAAGATGAGTCATTTAGGGAGAAGCACACAGCTGACTTTTTTTGGTGGGGGATGGGAAACTGAATCTCTCTCTCTCTCTCTCTCTCTCTCTCTCTCTCTCTCTATATATATATATATATATATATATATATATATAAACCTTTTTGGCTATGTCATTGTGACCAAGAATTCAAGAGTTCTGAAGTCAAGCCAGATAGTCAGGAATGCGAACTGAATTCCAAATCCATAAATCAAGACAGGAAGTCAGTCCAGAAATCAGTCATGGATTCAGGATGCAACAAGGTCCAGAACAGGATTATAAGAACCAAGGTCAGAGTTGAGAATTCAGGGCAAGAGGGCAACATTATCTGCTGCCAAAGAGCTATCCAGACCCCTTTTATCATTTGATCTCAGTTGCTGCTCATTTCAGTAAGCCTTCACTGATAATCCCAAAAACTTGTGATGCTTTCTTTGAGGAAGAGGTCAGCTTGCTGAAAATACTGAAAGAATCTCCTCTACCCCTTGTCACATCCAAACTAGGCAAGCTACTGGCCATGACAGTGACCGCTTTCAGTAATGGACTAGATGAGGGTGATGAAGGTCAACAATTCAAGTTTATTCCAGACTAGACAGAAGTGTCTCTTGTCAGTTGAAAGAAGATTAGGGAATAACAATTTAAACATGTTGGATGGGATTCCCTCTCAAACTTCAAGTCTATGACTTGAGGGTACTCCTGGACTTTGATCTGAGCATTGGCTGTGGCCAGGAGTACATTTCCACAGTTTAAATTAGTGAACCAGCTGTGCTCATTCCTTGAGAAGTTAGATCTGGCTGTGGCAACAAATATCTTTTGATGCACTCTGTATAGGGCTACCTTTGTAAACAGTTTAGAAACTTCAATGCTGTGAATAAATGATTGACATTTAAAAGGCTTGTTATTTGAAACATTTTGTTGTTGTTTGTTTGTTCAGTTGCTTCCGACTCTTTGTAACTTCATGAACCAACCATGCCAGAGCTCCCTGTTGGTCGTGGCCACCCCTACCTCCTTCAAAGTCTAGCCAGTTACTTTAAGGATACCTTACTCTCAATAATTAAGAAGTTAGCCACTTGATATCATAGGTCTGTAATTATAGTAGCCATTAGAAATAACAGTAATGGGTTGCCTGAGGATGCCTGCCATAGATGTGGGCGAAACGTCAGGAGAGAATGCTTCTGTAGCATGGCCATACAGCCCAAAAAACTCCACAGCAACTCAGTGATTCTGGCCATGAAAGCCTTCAACAACACAATAACAATAATCTTTGCAAAGAAGAACCTTAGAGTTCTCATTCAAATATGACTGTTGTGCAGACTGATTTCTACAAAATACACTGTTAATCATCCAGTTGGATGAGAAAACACACTGTCTTGCATTGTCATCTTTTTGGACTTTGCCTTTTAAAGTTATTTTTTCACCATCCCTCTTCAAAGCCCTGGGTTATTTCGTAAAATTTAACTGCTTAGTTAGTAAAGTGAATCTTTTCTGTAGCCTAGACTAACTTTATTAACATCAAAAGAAAACAAATTGGATAACCAGAGTAAAATTTAGTAGGAAGCATACCTAGTCTCATTATGGTTAGAAATGATAGTAAATTTATTTCTTCAAAGATTCACTTTGAAATAAAAAAAGATTTGTGCTTAAAATAGGTGTTCAAAAGATTATTTCAAATATATGCAGCCCTCTCCTCCTCATTCTTGCACATACATCAATCTATGTGAAATCTTGCTAGGAGTGGGGAAGCAGGTGAATCTTTCTCACAGTTTCCCCAAGTATTTCATCCAATCCATTGTGGCAGCAACAAAATTCTTATTTACTTTCTATAACTGGTATAACTCTTGTTATATACTATCACATGCCAAAGCAAGGCCTTGCTCTTTGTTGTTCCTTCCTCTTCAGAGTCACCGCAACCCCCACAAATTGGGAAAAGGTGGACCTTGCCTTTATTTGTCTCACCTGCCTTCTTCATCCAATGGGTTGCATTAAAAACTGATCATGCATATCATGCTCTTTTTAACTCCAGTTGCCTAAACTGGACAATCAAAGAGGTCTCTTGTACTTAACAGGGCTTACCTGCCATATTGTCAAAATGAGAAATCGTACTTACATGAAGGTTCATTCTGGGGTGGCAGGAGGAGCAATCCATTGCAGAAAAGTATTATTATTGTTTGTATATTTTAATATGTATTATATGGAAGTCAGTTTTAATATGTGTATAATAATAATAATAATAATAATAATAATAATAATAATAATAGGCAAGGGACATGTTCTTAGAGTTGGGAAATTTCTCACACTTCAGATATTGTTGGATGGCTATCCCATTTTTCCTTCTTCATTGGCTGTGCTTTCTAGGGCTCATAGGAGATGTAGCCTGTTCACATGAAGTCAACCGATTGATCCCCACTTCATAGAGCAGCGGTTCTCAACCTGGGGGTTGCAACCCCTGGGGGGGTCGTTAGGCCATTTTCTGGGGGTTGCCAAGGTGCCTTGGCTGGCCCCGCCCCCTCCAAAATGGCTGCCGACTCCCGGACACAGCCACATGGCACTCCTTGAAGGCTCCTCCTCTTGCTCTTCCCACAGAAATGTGGGTAGTCAGGAGGAGGAGCTTTGGAGGCAAAGGAATGGGGGAAGAAGACTCACCCTTTGTTTAGGCCGCAATGTGAGTAAAACTCTTATTTATTTACTTTATTTATTTACTTTGCTTATATACCGCTGTATCTCAAGCCCGAAGGCGACTCACGGCGGTTCACAAACAGTAAAAACAGTAGAAACAGCAGTGGTTCCATACAACATATAACAATTGACTTAACACATTATCCATAAATTACCAATAAGCAGTTACAATGCACAATTATTACAAAAAACAACCGTACCCAATCTTCTCATCATCCAAGTGTAGTCCAGGTTCGTCGTCCATTGTTCCATTCCTATGTTCCATTACCAGATTGCACTAAATTACTCAAACGCCTGCACAAACATCCAGGTCTTCACCTTTTTGCGGAATACCATTAGAGATGGTGCTAGTCTAATGTCCGTAGGAAGGGCGTTCCACAGCCGAGGAGCCACCACCGAGAAGGCCCTATCTCTCGTCCCCGCCAGCCGAGCTTGAGAAGCAGGCGGGATCGAGAGCAGGGTCTCCCCGGAAGATCTCAAAGTCCTGGTGGGTTCATAGGCAGAGATGCGGTCAGATAGGTAGCTTGGGCCGGAACCATTTAGGGCTTTAAAGGCCAACGCCAGCACTTGGAATTGAGCCCGGTAGCAAATCGGTAGCCAGTGGAGTTGGCGCAGCAGGGGGGTTGTATGCTCCCTGCGCTCCGCTCCTGTTAGAATCATGGCTGCCAAGCGTTGGACTAGTTGAAGCTTCTGAGCCGTCTTCAAAGGCAACCCCACGTAGAGAGCGTTGCAGTAGTCTAAACGGGATGTAACCAGAGCGTGGACTACCGTGGCCAAGTCAGACTTCCCAAGGTACGGGCGCAGCTGGCGCACAAGCTTTAGCTGTGCAAATGCTCCCCTGGTCACCGCCGAAACCTGGGGTTCCAGGCTCAGCGATGAGTCCAGGGTCACACCCAAGCTGCGAACCTGCATCTTCAGGGGGAGTGCGGCCCCATCCAACACAGGCTGTAACCCTATGCCCTGTTCGGCCTTGCGACTGACCAGGAGGACCTCTGTCTTGTCTGGATTCAATTTCAATTTGTTCGCCCTCATCCAGACCGTCACAGCAGCGGCCAAGCACCGGTTCAGGACCTGGACAGCCTCCTTAGTAGCAGGTGGAAAGGAGTGACAGAGTTGGACATCATCCGCGTACAGATGACACCGTCCCCCGAAACTCCGGATGATCTCCCCCAGCGGCTTCATGTAGATGTTAAACAACATGGGAGACAATATTGAGCCCTGAGGAACCCCACAAGACAATGGTTGTGGGGTTGAACAGGTGTCCCCCAACAACACCTTCTGAGATCGACCCTCCAGGAATGACCGGAGCCACTGCAAAACAGTACCTCCAAGACCCATCCCCGCGAGGCGTCCCAGAAGGATACCGTGGTCGACGGTAGCGAAGGCCGCTGAGAGGTCGAGCAGCACCAACAGGGACACACTCCCCCTGTCGAGCTCCCGGCGCAGATCATCCACTAAGGCGACCAAGGCTGTCTCGGTACCATGCCCCGGCCTAAAGCCAGACTGTGCCGGATCCAGATAATCCGTGTCTCCCAAGAATACCTGGAGTTGTGAAGCCACCACACGTTCCAAGACTTTGCCCAAAAAGGGGAGATTGGAAACAGGCCGATAGTTGTCGAATTTAGTGGGGTCCAGTGATGGTTTCTTCAACAGCGGTTTTATTATAGCTTGTTTTAAGCTCGCTGGAATCTTGCCTTCCCGAAGGGAAGCATTAACTACCACCTTAACCCACTCAGCCAATCCCCCTCTGGCCTCCTTTAGAAGCCAGGATGGGCAGGGGTCCAGGATGCATGTGGTTGGCCTCATTCCTCCAAGTATCTTGTCCACATCCTCGGGTTTCACCAATTGAAATGAATCCATCAAAACTGGACAAGCAGGTGCTCGTGTTACATCCTCAGAGACTGCCATTAACATGGTATCCAGACCAGAACGGATCAAAGCGACTTTGTCTGCAAAGAACTGAGCAAAAGCTTCACTGCAAGAAGTTGAATCGTCAGGGTTCCCACCTTGAGCGGAGGGATTTAAAAGGCCTCTGACAATTCGGAACAGCTCAGCCAGACGATTCTTTGCAGACACAATAGTGGCCGCAAAGAAGGCCTTCTTTGCGGCTTTTATTGCCACGGCATATGCCCTTAAAAAGGACACAAACCGTGTTCGATTTGGCTCACTCGGATCCGAACGCCACACACTCTCTAGTTCCCTCTTCCTTCGCTTCATTGCTGCCAGCTCCTCGGTGAACCATGTTCGGTGAACCATGTTCAGATGGAATCTCCTCTTTTGTAGTTTGAAGCCATTGTTCCATTGTGTCCTAGTCTCCAGGGAAGCAGAAAACAAGCTTGCTCTCTCCTCTTCCCTGTGGCTTCCTCTCACATATGTATACATGGCTCTCATCATATCTCCTTTCAGCCTTCTCTTCTTCAGGCTAAACATGCCCAGCTCCTTAAGCCGCTCCTCATAGGGCTTGTTCTCCAGACCCTTGATCATTTTAGTCGCCCTCCTCTGGACACATTCCAGCTGTCTTTGGATGTCAAAGTGTAATAAGAAATTGAATGTGCAAATTTGATAAATGTGAATTTAATATGATGTGTGGGAATGAATGGAAGGATGTATGAATGGAGTGAATGATTTTGGAGACATCAGTAAAATATGAAGGCCTGCAATCACTAACTACCTGCTTGCTGGATTTGCTAATGAGAAACCCTGGTAAGAACTGGGAGAGCGATAAAGGAAATGTTTGCAACCTTCCTTATGTTGAGAAGGAAGTCAACACAAGCCTTGTGTTTGTTAACACCAATCAAAAAGATCAACACTGAGATGGAAGCCAGGACGGAAGACGTCTATCATTAATTTACAACTTTGGGACGACATCGATAGAATATGCCTATAAAAGGCTCAGCCTAATAATGCTCAAAGTGTGACAGACAGAGACACTGTTCACCCGCCATGCTCTGCTCCATGGGAAGGACAGGAATGGTGTATTCGGAGAGTGGCAGATCTGCACAGGAGCAGTCTGGTCACTTTGGGGCTTCTCTCTCAAGGGAAGAGGAAGAAGGAAGGCGCTTTTGGAGTCTTAGATTTTGTGCAGGGAGTCAGGTCCTGTTGTATGGAAAACAGAGATCTGGTCCTTGGCATTGTTCTTAGGGAAGAAGCTTTGGCATTTTGAAGTTATGGCGTTATGGAAGTATGCGTTGGCAGGCTGCAGGAAATCAGGGTCTGGCCTAAGAGGTGCTCCTCCAAGGAGGGAGAAAAGGATATGGTAATATTTGGATGCATGTGGATGAATGCGTGTACATGTGGGTGTGAGTGTTGAGTGAAAATGCAACTCCCCTTTGTTTGTTTGTTAACCAATGTAATTGTACATCCAATGTAGTTGCATGGAATCTGTATGTCTAAATGTTTTTCTGTAATCTGATATACCTTCTCACACTGGCAATTGCAATAAAAAGATCCCATGCTTCAAAGTTATTGAAAAGTCATTCATGACAAAAGCATCCAAAAAATTATTCTGCATGTTGTTCAAGCAATTTGACAGCGCAAACCTCCTCCAAACTCTGCCAGACTCACTCCCAGGGCGCCTGGCATCCCTAACGCACACATTGGACGGAAACGAGCACATTTCAAAACATATCAAAACATAGCGTGCAACCGGTGCCATGCAAGTGCCCTGATTTTCCTTGACACACACACAGACACCTATCTATCTATGAACATGTTGTTCCGGTAAATCCTTGCAGGACACAAGTATGTGTGTGAAGACAAAC